TACATTTTCATTTATGACAGAAATGCTGTCATAAAAGTAAGATATCCATGGTGCTGAGCAAAACAATGTCACAATAACCAAAAGAAGTCCTCTCAAAGGCATACAGCTTTAATAAAGCTTAATGCTGCTGCCTACTGTGATGAGGGAAAACTACAATGTTGGTTCCCCAGGTCAAATAAAAGACCTTTGACGGTCTCTGTGACATGTCCTAAACTTTTCTGCATTGAATGGATGGAGAGTTCATTATTAGAAATGGCATTATTACAATTTGCCTTACGACAAAATGGCAGATTTAACTAAAATTTGCTATTTTACACTAAAATAGCAGATTTATTCACATTGCACTAAGATTCCTCTGCAGTGTATAACTCAAGTTCACACATTTTTAAGCAAACCAACAAGATAAATGAATCGGATATGAAACCTTTTGCAATGGGGAACTGTTACCTGACTGGAAAGCAAGAGTTGAAAAGAGCAAGAATCAAGTCAGAAACTGGACCTAGACTTGTCAATGGTCATTCTCTTCCTTGGAGCTGTCTTAAATATAGTCCCAGTCAAGCTGGTTTCTAACACATGTAGGGATAAAATCAACACTCGAGTGAAACAATTACAGAAAATTATTTAGCTAGAAGAAAATGTCATACCATGTACATAAGTGTTGCAAGATACAGTTTTCATCACTTTTGGAAAGCCACCTCAAACAAGCCTTTGAACTTATTTCTCTTTAAAAGTTACATAGCACTTACTGAAAAAAATGTATCAAATATTTATCATATCCTTACAATTTTACTGACCTCTATATGTTCAGCAATCACAGACATGGTAGATAGAAGACAGGAAAGCAAATCAGCATAACTGGAACTTAACAGGCCTGTGAGAAGTACACTGCCTTCCAGCTTTGGTTTCCAAGATCAGTTCAGATTTCTGCTAGTCAACTCAACAAGCACAGTAGCACCTATTTTAGGGTAGATGCTTTCATGTGATAGACCGGGTTTTAACTGATTTTAAAAGTGGTGCTATCTGCTTTCCAAGTAAATCTGAAAAAATGCAATGATGTCTGTGTTGCTCTTTGGGTTAGTACTGGTTAGAATGTAAGGGGTCATCTTCTCAGCTAGAAGCATGAAAAATGTGTATAAGCTTGGAATTAATATTGACTTGCAGAACTTTTTGATTCACATTAAAAGGTGTCACATGTCTCACTACCACACATCTGCTGTACAAATAGAAATCTCCAATTAAATCTCTACAATTCAAATTTTTGCAACAGATAACTCCTAATGTTTGTTTAATGTAACTGAAAAAGACTATTCTAGATTTTAATTATGACCTTGGCAATGCTGATATTAATATTTTACTTACTGTCAGATACAGGAACAATTCTGAGTATATAAGAAGGGATGCCCAGAAAAATGCTTTGGTGTGCTAGAAACATTCTTGAAAGGCAAACTTTAAAGTGCTCAAATCATTGCAGAAGATTAAGTTCTATTTTTAGAACAACTTAACAGAAAGAGAGCATAATGCCTACTGCTCAGAATGGTTTTAAACTTCTTTTTGTAAATCTGGGTTGTGTTATTCTAGTCTGGGAGGTCCACAGGCAGGACCTGCAGACATCTGGGGCAGTCTGGTTTGTAGGGACAACAGGGAGAGTCCAGAGATTGGCCACTTTTAGCCTTCACTGCATATTCTAGATGATTTTGTGCAGTGCTCATGTTTAAGACTGAACTTCCTTAGGGCGGCCAAAGCAGCAAGCCTGGCTGATTACCTGAGAAGTGCAAACTGCGCCTGTTACAGCGAAATTAATGGCTGGCAAAAGGCTGAAAAAGAACAGATTAATGTGAAAATTAAAAAGCTAGCACTGCAGTCATTTATAGTCAAGCTAAAATTAGTGCAGTGAAAGGAAAATAGGAGCTGCAGGACACAGAATTCCCCAAGTGTGCTGCGGGCTTGCTCCTGGCTGGAGCTGCTGGGCACACCCAGCATTAAGCCCCTGGCAGGCAGCGCTTGCGGCGTGAGGATGAAGAGTGCTTGTGTGAGGAGGAAGGGCACTGTGCACACACAGCTGGGCCCATCTGGAAAAACTGCTTTTGATTTTGAGCTTGGTAGCAAGCCAGCTGTGGCCAGGTTCCTTGAGGGTAGGCTGAATAGTCACTCACAGATGTTTCAAGGATGAAAAGAGAAGGCTGGCCACCGCAAATAAATTGATTTGCTGCTGTAATCCTGCTCAACAACATTCCCTGAGGTATCCACACCAGCGCTCTTGGACCATTGGCACTTGGCAGGGTGTGTGAGCCCCACCTGAGTGCTGCACTCCTGCTCTTACATTCCCACCGCAGCACAGCTGATCAGGCTGTGGGCAGCCCCCTGCACCCAGCACAGCAAAACACCTTTAGGAGAGCACAGCATTTGCCATCCTCAGCTTTGTAAGCAACGGAGAACAATGGCAAAGTCAAAATATGCCGTGAGTACGTGCTGGACTTCTTTTCACGAAGGCCTATCAGTCTCTAGTCACATCCCCAAAACCACCTTTTCAGTGTCTTGCCAAAATTACAGCATTCAGCAGGAAGGAATCTGCAGGAAGCTTCTTGCAAGTGTGATTCATCGCTTTGGCTTTTGTACGTTAGGAAACAATCCTTAGGTTCAGGATCATAAACTGCATATATCACAAGGTCAAAGTTTCTCTCGGTGCACAAGATGAATATACTACAGGACTCCCTCTCCCTTAAATGAGCACACTCTTAAATTTACAGAAGAAAACACAACATTTTGCTTATGTCAATACTTGAAAATTCATGGTTTGCCATAAAGGATCATAATTCCTGTCAATACACTGCTGTTTAAGCTTTTTATTTTAAAATGTCCTTTTTAGGTGCCATCCCCGCTGTACTGCTAAGCTGTACACAGCCCTCCTCTGACTTACAGGAGATTTTTCAAATGCACAAGAGGTATTTAGACGCTGACACTAGCCTGCAGCACTGAAAACATCTCCTCTTGAAGTCCAAGACTGAAAACTAATTCACAAACCAAATGACATGAAACTGTTTAAAATATTTTGTCACCTTAAAAAACACCTGATATCCTTAATAGAGTGTACAGTTGAGGAAGGATTTAACTGTATGTTGAAAGCATACCAAGCACCATGTACTTTATGGGAAAGAGAGGGCCAGTTTTTGAGAGCAAAAACACCAAAAAAATTAGCTTTGGCCACCATCTACAGCTGCAGCAAAAATGTGATTCTAGCATTGCCAGTGTGTTTTTATGTTAACCACTGTTTGCTGAGTCCAACTGAAAATCTCTATTTTTAGCCTTTCAGCTACTTTCAGATAAAATTCCTACAGATAGGACTAGCTGTATAGGGCAGATAACAAACAACTCTGAAACCACAGATGACCTCATGCAACTGCAAAGAAAGAAGGGTCTGTTACTTAAAGCAAGGCTAAAATTTAACCCAGCTCTACTAAAATTATACAGGGAGTGTTTTACAGTCCCATTACAAGACATAAAAACCCAGTCACTATAAATTCACGGTGTACTTATTTGTAAGGATGTAAAAAAGAGTAATTAATAACCCCCAAACAACTTATCTTTGAGCCAGTACAACACCAAGCCTTTCTCAGGCTCACTGGAGATTTTACAAATAGTACTGAGAAGCTGCTTAAACTGACATTTGAGAATTATTTGTCCACACTGAAAAGTCATTGCTCTTTGTCACAAGTCACAAGACATTTCTTAGTGCTCCACACTTTTAGTTGACATTATGGAGAGAAAATAAATAAATGTAATCCAAACTTTCTGGAAAGGGCTTCCATGTGTAAGAGCACATATTAGCCACAGATGTGAGGGAGCACTGCGCAGTGATTCTTTTTTGTGCTAAATGCACTCTACCGTCCTCTCTTCTACTTCACTCTTCCTGTGTGTCCCCCATACACCAAGAGAAACCTGTTTCCTTTAAAACACCATTATTTCCAGGAGAGTGAAGTGCAGTCCTGAGTACTATCATTCAAGTTTATTAAAGTAATTCAGGAGAAATGTGTTAAGGAATGGGCATGTCACAAGTGAATCAATGAAGATCGGGGTGCTGGTTTGTCCTTGGGATGTATTGCTCACACTTCTTTTAATTTGCAGAATATTTCCTCGATATTTCTTTAGAACAAAACCTTCATGAGGTTACCACATATTTCAACTAGTGGAAGAAACTCTCTGAAAATTCTTCTCCTCAGGAAAAAGTTTCAGTCTTAATAACTAATGAACAGGTCAGATACATGGGTGAAATAACTCTGAATTAAAGAAATGCTTTCACTCCCTCACCAAATCACTCTATGAGATCAGTAAAAGATTCAAAGTATTCTTCTTAACTCTTCCTTTCTTTCCTAAATACCAGCTTAGGCAGACCTGTTTTTTTTAACAATGACACAACCTCTACCTATCATCCATTTTCTCAAGCACAGCCAGCATTGAAATTAAAGCTTACAAAGCACTTAACTGTTAATTTGTGATTATAGAACAAGTCTGATTTTTTTTGATTCCTGTCACATGGAAGGAGAAACTCCACTTATCATAAGGAATGAAAACCAGGACGGAACAAGGTTTGCTATTTCCCTCTCTAAGGAATTGTAGGTGGACTTATGTAAACAACAGAGCTAAGATCAAAGGCAAATCTTAGAGATCATAATATACTGAGTTATTAAAGGAACAGAGCCTTTTATCTGCTGTGGAGGAAGGAAGTAAAGCATTGAGACATATGTAATATATGCAATTAAATATAAAAAAATCCAAGCAACTCCCAAAAGGGACTGAAATCAATTAAATTCTGGCTTTCTTCTTATTCTTTTAAAAGAGTGAGAAACAAAAATGCAATCTGTGACAAAAATTAGACTCCATCTCCTGGAAAAGCCAGGCATTCAACTCTATTTTAAGTCGAATTTTCCTTCACATCCTATGAAACAAGCACTGTTCAATCACAAACCATGTCCTCATTCACTGCCAGTTCAACTGAGGCTTACCTTGTCCTCCACTCTGTTCAGCCTGGCACCAATCGTGTTATTTCCTCGATCTTTGCTTTTCTCTGTGGAACAAGAAACATTTTCAAATTAATATATGGTGGTATAACAAAATAGCAGCAAACCACAACAGGGTGTGTTTAACTAGCCCACCAACACCGTGTAACTGAACACCCTTACCAGGCTGATAGATCCATTCCTTAAAAGTAGTTTTCTGTTTCTTTTTATAGCATTGGCCCACACCAGGGCTTTTAATAGCCCTGAGTTTAAGGCATTTTTAATCTTAGTTTTATGCTTTAACCACGGAGAGCAAAAAAATGTTCCCAATTTAGTTAATGTTTTAATTGCCACGTAAAAACAATCTGCCACTATGCAAAGGACTGTACAGCCAACCTGACTAACATTTGGTAACATTTTATCTTTTTCCCCCTACTATAAACCATCTAGAAAGATGAGTTTTAAAATGACATAAACAGAGAGTTTTCTTAGCCAGACTTGTCACAAAAAACCATAGTCCTTGTGCTCCTTTTCCAGTGTCTTTTCAAAGCTAATAAAGATCTATGTGAATATTACAGATTTCACAGGTACTCTGTAATCTTAGCACACTAATTTATTAAATGTATGGTGACTCTCAGAAAGACTAGAGCCAACATTTTGAAGACTTCAGTGAAAGTAGGTACTTTAAGAATGTAAATAAGAACAAGTCTAATTTACAAGTGTTGATGACTAAATATCATTGCCAATGCTTAATCTTCAGAGCACAACCAGTTGGCATCGTTTAAAAATTTGGCAATAAAATGAAAAGTATCTTAGCAAGTATTTTCCATTAATTATATGTTCATCAGATTAATTTTTGACACATCCTTTGTATTGACTTACCTGAGACAGAGATAAAAAGAGATGGTTTTCCTATGGACTGGTCCAACCTATAAAACAAAAGGAAATCTTTTTGTTTTTTATCAGTCTGAACCAGCATCTTCACTCTCTCTAGCTGGAGTAGGAAGGCCTCTTCACAAACAAGCAAAGTTCAAATAATTCTGGTTTGTCCCATGAGTGGAGCAGCTGCTTTATGCTAAGAGTAGCTTGAGATGAAAATACAGTAGCAAAATGGTATTTGACTTAGATTGCTCCACAGCTTCTTTAAGCACTGTGAAGTTTTACCATGCTCATTACTTTTGCCTGTGCTCAGCATTGATTTGTCTTTTCCTTGTTCTTCTGGAGTTTTCTTGTTGCATCTCTCATCTCTTAGTTGGCTCTTTTGTGCAATTCTAGAGTAGGTGACAGTATTGCACTCTCCAGGTGTAGAACAGCCCCTGCTATGTAGGGTTTGCAGTCTATAGTCACAGCTAGCAGGGACTGAGGTAATACATATAAGTCCCAACCATCAGATTTTTAAGCTTTTTGCCTTTTTCCTCCCTGTGTGCAAAGAAAACTTAACTAAAATTCCATTTTCTATTCCCTAACTTTGCACAGACCTGCCAATACGGCACCTTTAACCCAGGCAGTTTTTTACCCATGGGTCCTGATCAATGCCTAATTTACAAACATCCTTCTGCTGCTGTTTATGGGTACCAAGCCTGGTTCCACTGCCATACCTCCTCTGCAGCTCCTTGATTCGCACCATCAGGTTGAGGTGGCCCTGAGAATACTGCTCAATAACATCTCGGACATCATAGGGCTTTCTGGCTTGCTGTAAAATAAGAGACAAAAAACATGCCCTTAAGTCACAATGTCTGTGGCAATGCAGAATGGTTTTGAAGAGTGAACAGTAAGTTCTTTTAGCACTGTGTAAACACATGAGTTTTTTTGATTGTTGCCATGGTCGGTCATTGTTGGTGGAATAATTCTGACACTTCTCATTTCATCCAATTTTCTGTTGCTGCAGGTCTGTATGCCTTTCAAGAGATAATCCACCAAACTGAGCTCAAAAGAACTTGGAGCCAAAAAGAGTTCATCTGGCACTTTATTCAGAAGTCTGTGCATACTCTAGTTCCTTCTGGAAAGAAGGTTCATATTCCTTGGCCACTGAAAAATAAAGAGGTCTTGCACATGCACAAACCTCAGTCAGCAGCTGGGGCTCAGAGTTCAGGTCTTGCTTTGGAAAGTTAAACACAGTGCTAGAGGAAGGTGCATGAGTGATTTCCAGAAAGACTGGCTGAGCTTTCAAAACTGCTGGGAAACACTGGTGCAAGAAATGCCCCGTGTCTGTAATTTGCATCTCATATATGGGAAAGACTTCATCTGATTTATTATTAATAAAACAACTTTTGTGTAGTATAGAGGCAATAGTATCAAGATGAAGCAATAGTATCAACCTATAAAACACCAAGACCAACCAGAAAGCAAGGGAAGGAACATGTTGAAGGGTAGCAACAAATTAAAGGTATCTTAATCCTACATCTAGAATCTAGAGTCCAATCAGTGCCAGAACTGGTATTCCCAGCACAGGGAAGACATGGACCAGCTAGAACAAGTCCAAAGGAGGTCACAAAGATAATCACAGGGCTGGAGCACCTCTGCTGTAGACAGGGTGAGAGAATTGTGTTCAACCTGGAGAAGAGAAGGCTCCAGGGACATCTCGTTGGAGCCTTTCAGTATTTGAAGGGGGCTTTTAAAAAAGATGGGGACAGATTTTTACAAGGGCCTGTAGTGATAGGACAAGGGGGAAATGGCTTCAAGCTGAAAGAGGGTGGGTTTAGATTAGATATTACAAAGAAATTCTTCAGTGTGAGGGTGATGAGACACTTAAGTGGGTTGCCCAGAGAAACTGTGGATGCCAGTTCCCATCCCTGGAAGCATTCAAGATCAGGCTGGGAGGGGCCCTGAGCAACCTGATTGAGTGCAGATGTCCTAGCTCATGGCTGGGGGTTTGCACTAGATGACCTCTAAATGTCCCTCCCAACCCAAACTATTTCTGACTCAATCATTATCCTGTTTATAGAAACTCCATAGATAATTTCCAAGGTTTTGTTAAAACCTTGGTAACACTGAGGTACAACTTCTCCTTTCTTGCATTTTTTGAGAACAAGGAAAAGAATTTTCAGTGGTAGCTTCTAAGATACCAGAATTTGGATCTCTTTTGAAGTCTCAGAAGTATTTTGTCACCTGTACTTCAAAAGCAGATGTCCCTGAGCTGCTTTATCTTATTTCCCAAACTTCAGGATTTCCTCAATTCCATGCCATAAATATCAGGTTTTTTCTAAGCCAAAGGAAACTGGGATACCACACAAAAAACAGGCTGTGGCACCTTCATGCAGTCCCCTGCACTTGCCTGGGAAGTAGCTCCCACATTTCAGGAATGATTCCTTTAATAACACCATCAAACAAACTGTATTTCAGTCTCCCAGATTCCCCAAGTCAAATGCAAGCCTTGGGTGAATGTGAGATACTTTCTAGTGGAAGGCTAAGGAGGACTGGGAACGGTTTCAATCTAACCAAGGAGTACAGAAGAATTCCCAAGCATCCCAACTGCTTACACACACATAAATCATAACTAACATCCTCCAAGAAAGAAATATGAGTCTGTCATGGCACAAGCCTGTAAATCTTTTCATCGACTAGTACTATAAACATGAAAATATATTAAAAAAAAAAAAGTTAAAAAAATTCTTGGATTATTTTTGTACTATAAATTAGCAAAAGAAAAACCTGCAAGTTTGGAAGCTGCAGGTTCAGAAAAGGTGTTCAGTAAGAATAAAGATGCAGAGCTTTCTCCTGCCATCTTCATACTCTGACACAGTGTGACAAGAGTGTAGCTACTTCCCTGCCTGTTTTTCATTTACAGGGCTGTTTCTCTGTCTTTGAAACAAGAATTGAAAACCTGGAGTAAATATATTTTATGAATGAGGCTAAGCTTCTGAGTACATCTGGGTATTTAAGTCAGTACTGATTTTTCTGTAACTGCTTCATATTGGAAGCTGATCTCCTATGAGAAAATACTCTTGATGTTGACCATATAAAAAACCTGCAAAACCAGGCAACAAACTAGTATGGAATAGACAAAAGTAGAAGCCAGTCCCACAGCTTTCCTTATCTGCTTCTCTTCCTTACTTTTGGTCCTCTGCTAATTAAACAAAACTCATGGGAAAACTCTTCTTAAATACGTTAGAATTTCCCCTATCTTAAATGAAAGTTTTTAAAAGGCACAAAACCCAATGCCAAGTATTAAATGTGCACTATTGGCTATGGCTGTTGTTGTTTCCCAGTAACTGCACGGGCAGGGAGGCAGACCTGGAAAAGGGGAATCCAAGGAAGGGGAATTTCTGGGAAATACAACCAGGTAACATCACATAAAATGGCCAAAACACCCTGTGAAGCACAGGACACTGCAATACATGGTTTAGTACAGCCCAGTATGGAGATTAGAAAAGATTACACACACAATTCATATGAACCACATAATATGATGAACTACAAGACTATAAACGTAAGATTTTCCAGGGAAATTGGAACAAATCAGGCAACAGTTACGTCATTGGTAGAACTGCAACCTGTATTTTTAATTTATGCTATGTATAGAATATTTGCCATGGTAAAAATCATACCACAAGTTAAAAAGCTATTTTAGAAGGAAATTAATGTACTCAATTGGAAGAATTTACATGGAAAGAAAATTTTAAAAGTTTTCAAAATGAAAATGGGAAATCAGAACAAATTCCTAGTCTCTGTATCCTTGATGGATACCACAGCTGCATCCATGTACACTAGTTTTAAGACTTCTAGAAACCTTGATAATCGGAGAAGAAAAAACAACTCGGAAAATTGCTTATTTACACATAAATCAAGCTAATGGGATAATTTAGTACGGTGATTTTTTTTCCTGAAATTCAGTTGTAATATTAGATTGTTTCAAAAACATCTGCTTTACAACTAATACATACAATTCATTTTTTGGTAGGTAGAGTGAAAGTCTAGAAAAGCATTCATTTCTATGTCTGCTTTCCCTATAATCTACAAAATCCTGCCTTAACCATAAGTCATTCACCTTCACTGATGCACAGGCCTTGTGTAGAATGGGATCACTTGTATAGAATTTGAAACAGTCCGATAGACTTTACGAGAACATAAACACATCCATAAAAAAGGTATTAATTCTTTATAATATTATGCTGGGTTCGTGGGTTATACATGGGCATCCTCATAAGGACTATATTTAAACCTGGATTTTAACCTACAGCCTAAATTTCTCTCCTTTTTAAAGAGGAAATGATACTTTACAAAGACTTGCTTTTCATGTCCTTTGAAAAGCTTTGCATCCTTGTTTAGCTTTTCTTTATTTGTTTTATTTATTTATTTACTTCATTTTAAACAGGAAGGCTTTGCTTTCTAACTGGCTTTTGTCCTTCTGATGCCATCACCCCCTGTTATTAACTGAACCCTTTAGAAAATATATCTAGTCAAATTTAGGCCTACAGGTGTGTCCTGCAAACAGCTGGTATAGTTTAAGAACCATGCTGGGTTCATGCTGGGACCTATTTTGCAAAATTTTCCTCTTCCTCTCCTTCTTCCTATGCTGCCCCACTCAAAAGGTTGAGAGGAATCTCAAAAATATACTCGTTTAAAGTGCTGGCCTTCCTTAGTGTTCCAGCTAATTTAAAGCATGAATAGCCCAATGGACTTCAGATGAAATTGGGTTGTGGGTTCGTTGTGGATTTTTTCAACAGTTTCAAGAAGAAAACAGCTGAATTGTCTTTTTTTGGAACATATATTTTACATAAATGTAAAGCTTAGAAAGAAAACACCTACTAAAAACCAGCTGTACAGACCTCTTAAATGCTGAAAGATACATTTTTAAAATGCATCTTCTGCTTTACTTTATTTTCAGACATTACATTAGTCTGCTTATTAGGAACAATACACTCATTACTTGGCACATATTAAAACAATTTCATTTCTTACGATTATTTTATGTGCATAGAACAGATTTACAACATACTTTTGATGAAAGAATAATGACAGTGGTTATCGCTTAATTAAAGGAGAGGTTTTCAAAAGCACCTTGCAGCTTGAATTTCAAGGTGACTTAGTGCATTAAGTTATTTGGGTGCTTTGGAAAACTGTACCTTTGGTGGTCTCCAAATTTTTAAGCTTGATCATAGCCTTATATTCAGTATATTCAGTATCAGATATTCCCCTACTTTCCTCTTAGAGATCCTGCTTCTGAAGAAACAGCAGCAGAACACTTGTACATAGGAGTAGAGACCTAAGATCCACCCCGCTTCAGCCAAACGACATTTTTAGTTCTTTAGCAGCTGCTAATATTGATGATTCAGGAAGAAGGCAGACTGCAAAACAGAGATGAGGGACAACCCTGTTGAGGGATTCTGTAGATGGCCAGGACTGGGCCTTTTGCAGATGCAAAAGTGAGAGTACAACTGAGAAGCCAGATTAGCAACCGAGATACTGAGCACAAACAAGTTTTAAGCAGGACCTGAATAGCCTCATTCTATTCAGTCAAATGCTTTTCCAGCTTCTATCAAATCATCTGCCGCAGGGGAGTTTCGTTTATTTGCCAGGTGGATAATGTTGCACACAGTGTTCAGGCATTTTCAAAATCTGTTTCTGACAAATACCACTTGGGAGGTAGATCTACAACGTGTGGATTTCTTGTTACTAAGCAGCTTAGTTAATACCATGGCAAATATTTTATGATCTAAATTTATGAGAGCAATGATTCAGTAATTACCACAGAGCAAAGGATCACAATCAAGTTTTAGAATGAAAATAAATTAGACTTTAATGGAACTGGCCACATTTAGGCAATTATTCACACAACAGCAGCAGACACATCACTGGATTGGGCCATATCCCTTGCCAAGTTTCAAGCGCTGACCAGCAAGTGCTAAGAAACTTCTCAACAAAATGACTATAAATATTATCTTCAAGTAGTTGAGACATTGTGCCTTTCCTAATTTTAGTCTAATAATGATAATAAAAGGTGAAATGTGCTAGCAGAAACTTTTTGAAAGCACTCTCTTCAAGAAAAGTCTGGACATGGGACATTTCAGCCTAAATGGTGACAGCCTGAATACATTATATACAACTAAAGCAATTTTCTGACAAGCTCAGGCAATCTTAGCCATAAATTAGCTCAAGAATTTTAGTAGAAATTTAGGAAACAGTCAAAGTAGGAATTTGCTGGAGAATTCAGGCAGTGCTTCTGAATTTTACAAGGAAATCAGAACTGTGGAATTGTAGCAGCAGCAAACTTTGCCTTACAGATATACCGGACTGTTAGTCAACATCGTCATCATCATCATCATCATCATCATCATCATCATCATCATCATCATCATCATCATCATCTTTTTGATCTTAAATTTTGTAGACTTCAAATTTGAAGAAGAAAGACACTCGCCCTTTTTGGAGGGTCTAGATTAAAGGTGGGATATCTTTCTGGTTTACTGGAAGCAGTAATAGCTAGGTCATGCATGAAAATGGATGTAGGCAGTTAAGCCCCTCTCATCCTTTGCATTTTCAGTTGTGAAGCCTGTTCTCTGGAGATTATCCCTTATTTATTAATTTTTAGTAAGTAATTTTAAGTAATTTTTAGTAATATGTTTATTACCTATATATATATTCATCTGGTTTAAATCAAGCTGAAGGCTGTTGACGTGTTTTTACTGGATTAATGAAATTGATTTTTAGGAAGTTTGCAGTCAGAATTTTTTATTCAGACCAGGAAACAAGGTTAATTAGCTACTGTTAAATGCATATGGCATCACAAGGCCACAGCAAATGAAGTGGCACACGGGAAATGTATCAGTGAGGGCCAGAGGAGGAAAGAGAACCAATATCTCACTAACTGGGAAGGTCTCCTAGTATGCAGAAGGGAGAAAGGAGAAGAAATGAGAAACCTTCCAATACACTGACAAATTTCCACGTTGGTTTCTTATCAGGACTTCATTATCATTGAGTAAGGGACAGAAACAAGGCTGAGGTAGTATTTTAATCTCTAATCCTACTGACTCGGCAGGAAAGCAGTACACAGCTCAGAATTAATGGAGACATACGAGAATGTTTGCACTGCCAGAAAGAGACAGCGATAACAGAGGGCTAAGGGTCAAGTCCATTAGCAGAAAATAACATTTTAATTCAGACTGCATTTCAGGAGTTTAGTCTGTTTCCAGTGCATCCATAGTTGACTAACCTGCTGCGAAACAACCACCCTATTGAAGGAGGGAGAGAATAGTGGGTGTAGATCACCATTACTGAAATGAATTGTGTTAGTCTCTCTTAAGTTTCTAAAAGAAACAATGAATCAGGAGAATAAAAGGGTTTATTTAGAAAAGGAGCTTTTTATTCACAACTCACCTGGAACTTTTTTTTTGCCACAAAATACTGCATCCTCCGAATCACCTTGATGGCAGCACGGTGGTGTTCCCGCAGCCTGTGGGAAAAACCGGGAGGGTGAGGGAGGGAAGAGCATCTCCATCCACACACTGAATGCAGCAGGCTGCAGAAAATCCTTCAGCAACACGTCAATGTGCAGTGCGAGTAGGTGTGATCCAGCCTGGCAGCACGACACACCATCGGGCTGACCTTCCCCACTTTTCAAAAAGGTTCTGAAAACCCAGGGTTTTATCTGAGCCACCCTAGTTTTGCACTGATTTCACAGCTAAAAGCTTTCTACATAACCTCCTTCTACGCCTAAGCAAACTTCCATGCATCTCTCCCAGTTTCATCCCCACAAAAAAACCTCCCAAACTCTCAAGTTCCTGCATATCCAGCCATGAACAGCTTTTATACAGTCACTCCAGTTTTTAGGATTTTTTTTTTGTTTGTTTGGGTTTTTTGAAGTGTTCGCCTCACAATTTCTGTACAAAACGTTTCTTGACTTACATGATTTTTTCCCCCCAAAGAATTATTTGAATAAAAAATACTTGAAAGATTTTTGATTTGTTGACTGCTAAACAATCCAAATAATCTTGTGGTTGCTGGATGTAACATCTACATACATATTTATCCCCAAACTGAAACATAACTTAATACAATGACAAAATAATCTGACAGGTCTTTAAAAATATATGCCCCTCTTTGTGCATATGCATACGATCTGACAACAGAATAAGAACTGTACTTTTATATGACAGATTTTCATAGAATCTGACATTATTTTTCAAGCAGTGCCTTAAAACCAACAGTTATTTCAAATTTTTCAAAGCTTGCAAAAATGATGCATTTTCCTTCTTAACATTAAAATATTATTCAGATTGCTCATTCTATTACTCTATTACTCTTGCCAAGATGCACATGATAGCATTCATACTCACTAAGGGATGGAAAAGTTATACTTAAGTTCTATAAAAGTTTGTGCAAGTTTGGATCCATTGTTGCGGCATGGTATCACCCAAGTCTCTTCAGCTAAATATAACCTGGAATTTTAGTGAGTATTCAGGTGTTTCCTCAGGATAGATCTCCCCCAGCAAATAAAAGTTCTGCATGTGCAAATGGTGGATGTCTATCCTCTGGAGAGGTGTAGCTGGGGTGCTCCCCTTTTGAAAACTCACACTTTTTAGTAGCAAAACAGCATTTTCCAAAGCCAAAAGCAGAACCAAAAAAAGGCCATCCTTTCCTACTTCTAGCTATTGCCTCTCAGGTGAGTTCTTCCTGTTGTAGAAATTGTTCACATTTAGCAATCACAGAAAGGATTACTTTCTCCAGAAACAGCATAAAATGCATTGCTTTTCAAGCTAGTAACATACAGCTTTTCACCACAGGTCTACAGATGGCTACCCCTAGGTGTATTTATATAAATCATCTGTACCTCAATAATTATGCACCAAACCTGCAGCTGGATCTGCATAGGAAGCTTTTTCCCACTTAACACCTTCCTGAGGTGGCTTAGAGACACTGTCTCCAGGCCCCTGCTCCCACGGATCTGACTGCAACATCATGGTTCGAGTTACAAAAATGGAAATTTGCTGCTCCTGGCTGCAGTGGCTGAGCGTTTGGATCAGTGCCCAGTGGACAGAGTCAGCCCAATGCCAGTTCAGGGGACCCCTGCTCTGTGAGCCTGTGCTGCATCATTCTGCTGCTAAGGACTTGGATGACTTCCCCCAAACCCAAAGGAAATACAGTGTTTGGGCTTTTAAGTTCTGCTTCACAGAGATGGGAGTCAAAAAGGTAAACACTGTTTAATTTTCTAGTAAATATCAAAGGTATGATATCATGCAGCTATACATCCTATACATAAAAGCACACAACAACATCTTTTGACAAATAGAAATATATCTGAATTGCCATAAAACTGCTTGTAGTGTTTTGGTTTATGCCTCATTTCCTCTGGGGTGTTCTTCACAGTCCATTATTTCCGAGTAAAACATTTTTCTTTGGGACAGCCAGTCACCAGTAGAGAACACCAAATCCCTCATTCTCTATCTAGAGGACAAGTCCCATCTATAAGCAAGGCAGGCAGATAATAAAAATGATATTTGCCATTCAGTGAAATAACAAAGCTACACGACCAAAATGATTTTCCAATGCAGCTATTCACCATCAATCATTTTTCAGTGCTAACATGAACTACCATGCCAGGAGGGAAAGTTAATATTCTCGTTTTAATCCTTCCCATTTCCAGCTCCAGTAGGAAGCCTTACAGTAAGCTTGTTTCTGCTTATGCTGTAAAATGTAATTCTGCACAACGGGCTGTCCTGATTCCCCAAGATTAAATGCTTCTGCGATGAGAGAAGGGAATAAAGGATTTAATTAGTAGCCAAGGTTATGATTCACGGTTGTTTGATCTCTTTGGCAAACTGGTAACAAATGCTTTAGTAAATTGAGAGCTTAACCATTAACTGGTGATATTTGTTTGTTCAGCCACTTGTGACATCTCTGAATTTTGGTTACAGAGGGGCTGTCTGCAGCCTCTGGGCACATGGAGCACGCTGAGATGTCAGAGAGGTACTCAGTGCATTACCGCCCTCACTGCTGTGAATACTTTATTTTTTTTTAGGAGTGTGGCTGGACATGACCTCACCTGAGTGTGCTGCCAGAGCACAGCACCTCACCTTCCTGGTGTGTCCATCTCCACAGCCAGTGGGAGACACTCTTTGGAGAGGCACTGCTGTGCACAGTGAGTTTCAGGGACTGCTGGGGAACTCCAGAGAGCGTTTCTGCTGCAGTGTGGCTGTGTGAGCTAAGCTCTCCTGCAATTGCAATCCCTCATTTTCACATGTTTACTTTTTCCTGACTTTGGGGGAAAGATTCTTGGATAAGTGCATCAGCAACAGGGTCAGCAGGCCTTTTGCCCTTTTGGCAACAAAGCTATTTTCCTCTCCTGAGCATTCATCAGGCTTTGAGCCTCATCATTACCATACCCATTAATATCGTAACTGACATCTGAAGGAACTTGCCAAACACGGTTTGACTGATTCTAATAACCAGCAGCATGTTACCTTAAAAAGAAATATACATAGAACACCTTTAAAATCAAACTAAAGGTTATTATTTGATAATGGACAACTTCTTAGCCTGCACCCTTCTGAAGAAAAGTTGCCAATAGCTTTCACTGGCTACCAGTAATTTTCTTTCTCAATATGAACAGGACATCAAGATCACCTTGAATACAGCACATGCCCTGTGACATTTCTCTTAAACCCACAGAATTAGGACCTGAAGCCACTAAGGAATCTACAACATTGTTATAACTCCTAGGAATCCAGAAGGATGAAGAAGGATGTAACAATTCAACAATAGAAGACTGCCCTTCTTGTAATAGGGCCAATAGATTTATATAAACCAACATTATTTGCAGGTATAAACTAGGACCCTTTATGCATGCACTGAAAAACAACCTGTTGTGGATTCAGACACTATTCAAAGCATAAGAAATGGGGATGAAAAAACCTGGCAACAAAATACAATGAGTACCCACATTAAAAAAGAAAGCCTGGCAGAATTAAATCACTAGAAATTCTTAGTTTTTCCTGTCTCCTGTAGTTGTTAAGATACTTAACCTACAACCAGTCACTTGGAGGAAACATGATCTCTTCATCAGAAATCTGAACTGGAATTTCACTTAAACTGGAAAACAAGCATGATGAAGTACTTTATGTAATTCAATCGACGTTCCCATTTGGTTGGAAAGTTGTTATAAATTAATAAACGCTCTGAACTGTTGCAATTAAGACTTTTTGACTACATATTGTTCATTTTCCCCAGCACAATCAGCCAAAACCTCAGTAGGTTTCCAAAGCTGTGGCTCATTCCCCAGTCCCACACTCGCTGACAGCCACAGTGAATGTCACTGTTCAGTCAGCACCTACCTGCCTTCTTCCTGCCAGAGGACATGCAAGGCCACCACAGAAGAATGCTCTGGGACAAAGGCTAAAACTTTTTAGTTGCCAAAACTGTGTGGTTTTATGAAAAAGGAACTAAGCTGGTGCATGGTTCAGTTGCTCTATGATTCAAGAAAAATAAAGCCTTTTTTAAAATTAAGCTTTACAAGATTAATCTCCATTCTGAAATAGAGTCATTTGGATAAAGAATCAGAAAAGAAAAGCAATTATTAATTAGAAATATTTATTGTCCTTACAAAGCTGCTAAATTTTCTATCAAACCCTTAGTAATTCCATTAGAAGTTTGTTCCCCTTTTCATCTCAGGAAGGTGTTCTACATATTGGTTTAGTGTTAAAAGAAATATTAAAGCAACAGGGCAAAGGAAAGGTGGTGCTAATTTCCTATTTGTAACACTTGCCTTTTTGTTCATGTGCAGAACGTTTAATTATCAGGGCTGTAATGTCTGGCACAGACCTCCCAACATACACAAACGTCGATATTATCAGAGCTGAAAGGTCAACGCTGCCTATTCAGAATGAGTTTAACAAGAACGAAAACGCAGTTGGAGACAGCCACAGATTTATAATATCTTTCACAAAATACCCATTTCTCAGTAAACCTAACACTGATTCGAAGTCAGGCTCAGTTTTTAAAACCTATTTAAATTCTCTGCAGTCATCTGAAATTTCTGACTTGGGACAGGGTAAAGTATTAAGAAAGAAGACTGAAGTAGGTTGGCTTTTGGCAGTAATCATTATTTAGATTTGAGCTTTATCTTTAATGCATCAGTTTTTAATCATATGTTGTGCATGTGAACTGGTATTTTTTTCCATTCAGCCACTGAAAAACATTCTTTGTCACAAAATCTGGTGGATGAGATTCAGAGTAACTACATTAAGCCATTTCATTAGTGCATTTAAATCTAATGAAATCTTCTATCCTTAGTCCTCCAGGCACTTTAGGTATAGAATGTGCTGTGTCTCAAGCTTATTCTGTCATTCCCTGCCTATTCCCAGTTAATGGGAATCTCTCTGCACTAAGCTACATTTTAGATGCTGAAAATTGGAAGAGATTAGGTTGCATTGCTGTGTGTTCTGAAACAGGAAATAC